TTTATTTTATTTTTTTTTATTTTTTTTTTTTTTATTTTTAAAAAAAAAAGGTACCAAATAAAAGAAAAAGAAAAAGTGTGAAGTAAAAATCACGAAAAAGAACGCGAAAAAAAAACTTAATGATTCTTAAATTTGTTGGGGAGATGAAAAAAAAAATGTATTTTTTTTAAACATACAACATACATATACTGTATCAACACATACTAGCAAAACTACTTCGCCTAGAAAAATGAACGTTTTGAAAATGATTTTGAGGCGAACAAGGTTCATCAAAATAAGCGTCCATATCATCATCAGGTGTTGTACTAGTAGTTGCAACAGTATTACTACTAAACAATTCTTCTAGTAATGCACCTGTTCCTCCATTTCCTCCATTTCCATTATTTCCACCATTTCCATTAGGATAATTTTCTACTGAATCTGATTCAAACCCTTGAACAAAGTATTGAAATTTATCTACTGGTTGAGGATCTAAAAATGTGTCTAAATTATGTGAAGAAGTATGAAAGAATGACTTTGAATTGGTTTCTATGGTACCAAAATGTTGCATATGTACATATGTATTGTTTGGTGCACTTGTTAGAATTGGATCAACAGTTACATAATTTTCGGTTGGTGGTAACAAATATTGTGGTGTTATTTCATATTGTGCGATTTCTGTTGGTGTTGGTGGAAGTTGTGAATATACTATTGAATTATGAGAAGTTTGTATCCTTTGATTTACGGATGAATTCACAGATGAATTCACCGATGATGATTCCATAGATGAATTCATGGGTGAATTAACAATGTTTTGACTGATAGCTGATGATCCAATGATTGGTGAAGATGGTGTATGAACTGAAGATACGGAAGATTGATTTGAAGAACGTTCAGAAAGTGGAGGAGAAGGAAAAGAAGAAGGCGAATTTGGAGACACCGGATAAAGAAACGATGGAATAGATGATTTACTTTCAGCAAAAGCGGATTCAGCAATTGCTATAATCATTGCTTCGTCTGCCATTGAAACATTTTTATCTGAAGATGGAACTGCTGGAAAAGTATTTGTTGAAGAATTACAATCTCGACCTTTTGATAATTTACGTGGTTTTTTTGTTCCAGGTTTTTTAGGTTGATATACATAATCTGGATGATCTTGCATATGTTTGAGTTTCATTCTATCCGCAAGCTTTTCCCATTGAAACCTTACTTCTTCAGATTCTTTCCACCACATTTTAGAAATAACTTTTGAAACTTCTGCGTTAGTCAAGCTTTTATCTTGAGCCACAACATCGGGTTGTTTATTCTTTCTATACAAGATGAATGCATTTGGTGGTCTGGGAGTCCTTTTTGGTTTTCTAGCTCTTGGTTTTCTTGTTTTTGTAGGTTTTATAGATCGAGTAACGGGAATAACAGTTTGAACATTTGAAGAATCCATAACGGTAGGAGGTGCGGACGAATTAGAAACATCAAGGACGGATGGTTCAATGATGTTATGAATGTTATGAGCATGACTAGGATTAAATGTCGTAGAACCGTTATCATAATGATAAGCGAAATGATGAGGATCATTATCAATTCCATTAAGATTTTCGTTAGTGGAAATCGCGTCTTGTTCTTGTTCGTGAACATCAACATCAAACATTAAAAGATGACAAAATTTTTTCCTAGCATCTTCGTCCATTATGTAGAAAGGATAAATTTTTTTTTTTTTAGAAAAAAAAAAAAAAAAGAATTATAATGTAATGGCGATGATAATTATTATTAAACGATAATAACAAGAATTTTTTTTTTCTTTAAAAAAAAAAAAAAAAGAGAAAGAAATGGACGGTTTATTATTATTATTATTATTAAAAAGCAAAACTTTAAGAGTGAAAAAAAAAATCGATCAATTGTTGAAATTTATGAGGGTACGTATCAAGAGGTCGTCTTTTTATTTAGTTTTTTCAATTTATTACGATTATAATAAATTAATTTTTCCAAATTATATATATATATATTTTATTTATTTAATTCTTATTATAAAAAAAAATTGTATATCGTATATACTGTATATTTTTTTAAAGTAACACTCACGTTTACATGTTTAATGCATGCATCAAGGTGACTTTAGAGAATGTAACACATTGGTTATCAAGTCATCATTAACCGAGAAATGCATTACGTTTTTTTTTGCTTCAATTATTTTCCTAAAAAAAAGAAATAATTTATTTTCAAATTTTTTTTACTTAAAATTTATTGTCTAACGTGACATTTATGTATCTTTTGTCCTCACTTGATGATGAGTCTTTCTAAATTTGAAAAAAGTTCAAAGAAATAAAAAATGAACCATTCTAAAGTATTATCGATCAATGATGAAAGTGGTTCAACTTATTTCAATGAATTATTTAATTTATGATTTTTAAAATAGAAAAGAATTGTTTTTTTTTTTTATTCTCAAAATTTTATTGAAGCCGTCGCCGGATGTATTGTTGTTTTTTTTTTTTTGCAATTAAAATTTAAAATAATGAAGAAGGGTAATTATATTAGAAGACTAAGTAGTTAAAAAAGAACAAATCAATTATATGAATTTTATTATGAAACATTGTGGATTTAGGAAGCAAGTATTTGAAACAATAAACTAATTGAGTAATGTGTAATGTATACGCACGAGTTTTTTAACATTAATGAATTAGTAAGATGTTATGTTTCGGTAAACGATTATTAAAAAAAAAAAACTCTTCTCTTTCTCACTCTTTTTTTTTTCTAAAGTTTCAAAAAATTACCGTTCAACAATTATTAATAATCTTCAAAAGAGTTGTTTCACCTTATTGACCTAGGTTAATTTGTATATTTACTTTATGATGATTTATAATCATAAATACGACGAGATCTAATTTCAATGTTTATATTATTGTCGTCGGCCCGAAGAAGAATATAAACTTTAAAAACTCTTGATAACCATTCAAAACCAAATTAGGGTTCCTTTCACAAGATGTTATTTCTAAAAAAACTATTCTTTTTTAGGCATCAGATTTAAAGTTATCTCCGAGAGAATTATTATTAAGGGAAATTATGATTTTGAATCTCCTTGAAGAACGAATTTTTAATATTTGTTTGATTTAAAATGATTTAAGTGAAAAAAAACAAGTTTTTTTTTTTTATGTTAAATTTATTTCACATGAAAAAAACAAGTAGGAATTTGTTTTATGACTTAAGAATACATTTAATTACTAACTAAGTTTCTTCCATGTTTAATATTCTGGATATTTCCTGCACCTCCTACGAACATAGTACACATAATCTACACAATCCAATCCACATAATCCACATAGTCCCTAAGAACATTATTTATGCAAAAAATCGAATTCATACAGTGCCTGAGAAAAATGAAAAAAAAAGTTAAGTCTTTATAATAATATAAAAGAATAAGAAAAAATGTTTTTTTTTTTCGTTTTTTTTTGAACGAGATGCTCCCCTTGCATAAATTTAAGAGAAAAAACTCCTTACATTTCAAAAAAAAGATGTTTAATATCTAAAATGTGATTTTTTTTTTTATCTGAGCACGTTAGCCTTCTAACTTTTTTAATATCAATTGTTAGATATCCATTATTAAACTTTTTATGAGTATTTACATATTTCACGTTCGATGCGACTTGATGTTTAAGAAACTTTGAGTACAAATTCTAATAAATCCATTTTTTTTTTTACAAAGAACATTATCAAAGAACATTAATGAGAATATTAATGAGAATATTAATGAGAACATTAATAGAATATTAATGAGAACATTCATGAGAACATTCATGAGAACATTCATGAGAACATTAATGAGAACATTAATGAGAACATTAATGAGAACATTAATGAGAACATTAATGAGAACATTCATGAGAACATTAATGAGAATATTCATGAGAACATTCATGAGAACATTCATGAGGGGGGGAAAAACAAAAAGTTCACCATAATAATAAACTTAATAATGAACTTGTTTTTAAGTCTATTCATTCAAAGGAAAAAAAAAAACTTTACTAAAAAAATTCATTTAAAGCTTTATCTATCAGACAATGTTTAAATAAATTCATCTGATTTAATAACCGAAAGTAACGAAGGTCCCCTTGCTTATGGTTGTTATTGGAGTAAGTGGTTTCGTTATCGTTCATTCACACTTTATGATACATTTTATGATACCTATTTTACGATACCTATTTTATGATACATATTTTATGATACATATTTTATGATACATATTTTATGATACATATTTTATGATACATATTTTATGATACATATTTTA